TTGAGAATCGTGAGTGGGTTCGTGCTGCTGCTATACTCCTGCCTGCCCCTTCACCCTCTTTGCCCCCTGCTCGCCTTCTCCTCACCCCAGTTGCCCTTTTCCCTTATTTGCCCTTCCTGCTGCTCCCCTGCTCTGTGTGCTTGCCTCCTTGTGCCCTGCTGGTCTTAAACTGGCATCTTCGAAGGCCCTGCTCCAGAGTCCCAAGTGTCCACTCATCCTGCAGCTGCCTCATGGCAGTGCCGGTCACCACAATCAGGGTCACTGTATTTCTTTAAGCCTCACCTCTTTCCAAAACAGATTGGAAACCCTTTGAGATTAAGTTGAGATTATCTCAGCAAGTAATAATGAAGCTCTGTGTCTGCAGGTTTCACAATAGAGGAAATTAAAACCAGGATAAGAATGTGCAAGCAAGTAACAGGGCACTGCTGGTGATTTGTGAGATCAGAAGTTGTGTCTAGGATCCTCCTGAATATCAAGGGAGGCAGTTGTCTTGGATGGGGGGGCGTGCATTCTGGTCAGTTCGTGGAAGTCCCAGGGGATAAGCAGCTGAATCATCACCCCCACCCATCTTTCTCTCCACTCTCTGAGACTCTCCCCTCCTTTTTTTCTCTTTCCCACTTTATCTTGGGCTTTCCCTATCCTGCCCTGAGTTTTATTTTGTCACTGTTTTCTCTACTGACTCCCATACTCTTGACAGCTCAACTGCATATGTAAACCCTCACCTAGGCAATCTATTAGCCAGAAGCAATTCCAGAATTGATACTAATTCTAGGGAAGGTCTCATACACCTCCTGTCTGACATTTGAAATGAACTAATATGTGAATATCAATAAAAGCAAGACAGTTTGCACAGCATATACTGATAATGGCAATCCAACTTCTTTTGCCTTTCCCCCAGAGCACCCTGGAAGCCCTGGGAATATCCTGAGCTTGGTGCTTTGGTGATTGTTTTAACTTTGGTGCCTTTTGTTTGTTTAATTACAAATCAATTTAGAATGTTTCAAGTTCATGAGTTTGCTCTGCAGGCTTATTTAGGGACAAGCCAGCCCTTATGAAATCTAAACATCAGCCTAACAGAGTAGAAAGACTAGGCTTTATAGTTAGAGACACGTGGTCCTGGGTTCAAGTGTATGATTTGGGCAAATTCTTAATGTCCTTAAGCCTATTTTCTTATCTTATAATGAAGAAAATAATATCAATCAAGACATACTTGCACAGCTCATGCATGTAAACCCCCGGCACAAGCCTGATTAAAAGAGCAGCTGCTATTATCATTGATACCTACTTTTCTCTTCCTTTTGGATAACTAAGACTAATGTAATGGGGTATCCTGGCCCCTGGAGGGTATATGGAGGGAAGTGGAGACTTTGGGAATGGTTGCTGGAGAGAGGGTGAGACTTGGAAGTGCAGGCTGGGAGGAAAATGCAGGTGCCCAGGCCTGATGCCCTCCTACCTACCCCGCCCTGCCCCCTGCAGTCCTGTCCAAGAACAGCAAGCCCATCCATACCACCATCCTAAACCCACATGTCCATGTGATTGGGGAGGACGCAGCTTGCATCGCCTACATCCGCCTCACCCAGTACATCGATGGGCAGGGTCGGCCTCGCACCAGCCAGTCAGAAGAGACCCGAGTCTGGCACCGCCGGGATGGCAAGTGGCTCAATGTCCACTATCACTGCTCAGGGGCCCCTGCTGCACCACTGCAGTGAGCTCAGCCACAGGTGCACCTCGTGGGGGGTAGGGGGGCTGGGAGGGGCTGGGAGAGGCTGGGAGAGGCAAGGTCCAAGGAGGTAGAGAAGGCTGGGAGGTGGCACTGGGGGAGGAGGTGTGGGCCATCCCAGAGTGGCAAAAGCTGGGCTGTATGGTTGTAATAAGTTATGCTCTGGAATCACATTCACTTGTGTCTGGTTTCATGGCTTCCAAATTGGGTGACCTCAGACAGGTTTCCTCCCCTCCTTAAGCCTCAGCTTCCTTAGCTATCAAAAAAAAGGGAAAGATTAGGGCCCGGCCTGTGGCTCACTTGGGAGAGTGTGGTGCTGATAACACCAAGGCCACGGGTTCGGATCCCTTTATAGGGATGGCCGCTTAGCTCACTTGGGAGAGCGTGGTGCTGACAACACTAAGTCAAGGGTTAATATCCCCTTACCGGTCATCTTTAAAAAAAAAAAAAAAAGAGGGAAAGAGTGGTGGCCACTTCATTGAATTGTAGTAAGGATTGAATAAGATAAGTAAAGCACTTAGTAAGTACTCAGCAAACGTGAGGCAATATTATATTTGAGATTAGCTTTCTCCCCATCCCCCACCTTCTCAGGCAGACTTGGCAACTGTGTGTAGTGTGCTTAAGTCCCTGAAACTTATCCATGTGCTCATTGTCCTCTGTTCTGTTACCACGTTCTGTCCTGTCTGACAGGGGCACTAGGATATTCCAGCCGGAGGTCGAACCTTTGCAGCCAGTGGCTCTGGAGGGCCTGAGTGACAGCGGCAGTCCTGTTCGTTGAGGTTTAAAACAATTAAATTACAAAGCGGCAGCAGCCAATGCACGCCCCTGCATGCAGCCCTCCCGCCCACCCTTCGTGTCTGTCTCTGCTGTACCGAGGTGTTTTTTACATTTAAGAAAAAAGAAAAGAAAAAGGTTGTCTAAAAAAAAAAAAAAAGGAATCCATACCATGATGTGTTTTAAAACCACCGATAGCCCTTGGGCTGGCAAGAAGGCAGGAGTTTGTGTGACGCCCATCCTGGCATGAGCAGCGGGCTTATCCACCAGCCCCGAAGAGGTGAGGTCAGCCTCTGGCCCCCATTGACTCAGGGGGACCAGACAAGAACTCTGACAGAGCTTTGGGGGCCATGACGTGTTGTAGCCCCTAAGGTGGCCTGCTTACTCCAGGTCTAGAATGGACTTCTTCAGAACTTGCATAGGCGCCTAGAACGAGGCTGATGAAAACACCACGGCCATCAGACCTACTTGGGAGAGAACACAGAGCTCCCAGCCTGCTGCAGAGGCAGCTGAGAAGCAGTGGCCTCAGGACTGAGGGCCTGGACGTTGCTGTACTGTTTCATTTAGTGTAGAAGGGAAGAGAATTGGTGCTGCAGAAGTGTGACCGCTACAAAGCCAATGAAACCTCGTGCTAGTCTGACATGCACTCACTTATTCATCCATTTCTATAGGATGCACAATGCACGTGGGCCCTGATGTTGAGGCCTGATCCCTGCAGCTGGGAAGGGGAAGGGGTTGCTGCTTTGCTTCGTGTTTGTTTTCTTATTAGCAAGGAGAGAGCCCAGGCCCTGGTCAGGGCTCCCCTTGCCACCTTTGGCAGTTCTGTTTCTGTGCTGATCTGGACCATCTTTGTCTTGCCTTTACATGGGGTGGTTCCCATGCTGACCCTCATCTGGGCCTGGGCCCACTGCCAAGTGCCCTTGTGGGATGGGAGGAGTGAGGCAGCGGGATAAGGGGTGGTTGTTTCTATGCATTCAGGCTGCCCTCAGGGCTGCCTCCATTTTACTCTTCCCCTGCTGCACGTCCATCTCTTTTCCTGTCCTTGAGATTGACCTGACCACTCTGGCAAGAAGAAGAGGTGTCCTCTTTAAAGAGGCCTCTTTACTGACCAACCGAAGTATAGACTTACTGCTGGACAATCTGCATGGGCATCACCCCTGTCCCCCACCTGCATGTACCCAAAAGAGGTGTCCAGAGCCAAGGCTCCTACAATTCATTGCCTCTCTCTGTGCTCAAGGAGTTCCATTCCAGGAGGGAAAGATCTATACCCTAAGCAGATAGCAGAGAAGATAATGGAGGAGCAATTGGTCACAGCCTTGGTTCCCGCAAAACAACTGTGCAGATTTATCTGCACAAATATCTGCACTTTGGGGAGAAAGGTGGGTAGACTCCAGCTCCCTGGACTACCTGCAAGAGGCACGGGAGCTGGGAGAAGAGGCAAAGCTACATACAGGTTTACCTAAGAAAGCAAGCTCACAGGTGCTGGTGCTTGGATTTAGCCAGGCTCCTCTGAGCACCTAATGCATGCCCCAGCCCCTGGGCCCTAAGCCTTTCCTGCCCTGCAGTGCCAGCACGCAAATACCTTCACCACAGAGTTTGGTTTTGCTGGCTTGAAGACAAATGGTCTTAGAGTCCATTGAGACCCATAGCTTCATATGGCTGCTCCAGCCCCACTTCTTAGCATTCTTACTCCTCTTCTGGGGCTAATGTCAGCATCTATAGACAATAGACTATTAAAAAAAAAAAAAAAAATCACCTTTTAAACAGGAAATGGAAGGCATTTGATGCAGAATTTTTGCATGACGACATAGAAATAATTTAAAAATAGTGTTTGTTCTGAATGTTGGTAGACCCTTCATAGCTTTGTTACAATGAAACCTTGAACTGAAGATATTTAATAAAATAACCTTTAAACAGTCCATTGTGTTACGCTGTTGGAGGCTATGGCCAGAGGCTTAGTTTTAGCAGCCTACCTTACAAGGCTTCAGATGGAGAGAGGTACCTTCTCCCACTCCCTTTGGGCTCTTTATAGAATTAAACTTCCTCATGAACTCACCACCCTCCAACCAGTCCACCGGGCTGCGGAGGCGGGTTTGGGGTGGGAAGGGAGGACGTGGGCCCTTAAGTGGTGGCCTAAGCTCTGGCCCCGCCCTGGCCCCGCCCGCGTCAGGGGCCGCCCCGCCCCGCCCCCCTCAGTGGGCCGGCCCGGCTCCCCCTCCGCAGGGCGGAGTGGACGGGCCCGCACCC